GGAAGAAGTGCTAGATGTAATATTTTCTTCCTTTGGTTCTGTTGACTGTGACTGCGCTGAAGGGGGAACTCCAAACAAAAATCCTGTACTTGGTTTAGAAGAAGCAGGTGATGAAAACAGACTAGATGAAGGAGTTCCAAATTTAAACTGCTGTCCCTCAGATTGGGAAGTAGATGATGTTACAGGTTCTGTTGTCTCATATCCTGGTCTTGATGTTGCACACGCAATACACGAATTACTGTCAGCAGAATTGCTCAAATAGCAGGCCCCACATTCCCATGCACCTGCTTTGGGCTTAAATTTGTCACCAAATCCCTGAAATATACAATTACATGCATAAATTTAGACATGCATTGCAAACATTAAGTTCATCAATACATTACTTCTGTGAACACAGAAACTATTGAACCAACTCTCCAAGAAAATATTTTTTTCAGTTTGCCATCTTACAATAACAAAATGTTTATGAATGCAACACCAATCCACATTGACCTTTTCATTCTAGTCACAGTATTATAGTGACAGTGTGTCAATGTGAAAAACACTGAATACTGGGCAGGGACTATATATGGACATACACGTGGAGGTCAATCCAGCAGGCACAGTTTACATATTAGCAGAGTAGCAGGAGGTAATTAATAATCACACATGTTCATCATACTTTCAGTACTATGGGTTTGTGTCATCAGGATACCGTGATACCGGAAATGAAATATTGTCATGAAAAATGGTCAAACTGGCATTTTTATACTTAGTCTAGTTCTAATGGTGAAATTATTTCTTGATGTCTCTAACTTTTGCTAGTTGACATGAGATGAAAAAGTTGTATATTATGATTGACATGAATACTAAAATTGTAAAAACATATCAAAAAATGAACATACAATTTAGTGAGTTTATATTAATTTTCAATTATATACAATGGGGGGGGTGATATTTCCTATAATGCATTGCATACACATGCAGTAACATGCTCAGCAGGGAAAAAATTGACTTCAACCTAAAAACGTTCTTAATTGATGATAAATGCAAATGGCAAAAATACCTGAGTGACGGCTTTAGCATCTGAACTGCTGGATGGATTTTCAATTATCACTTCCTCTTTTACAGCTGGAAGATCACTGATCATTTTTTGACACTTTTCAAAAACGTCTTTGAAGTTCATAGCTAGTTCAGGTGTCTTAAACTTCACAGCTAATTGTTCATCTTTTGCTTCTTCTTCAGAAAAATCCAAAGCACACCAAACCCAAGATCTGTCGGAGCCAGTATTGGGACGCAATTCCATAGCAGAGGTGATATAATGGTTTGCACACACTTTTAAAACTTGATCTCTTCTCATGAGAACGCGAATTCTACCAGTTTTTGAATGTTTTAAGAGTTTTAGAATTCCAATTCCCCGTTCTTTCCACTGTTGTGCAGACTGATCAAAGCGATACAATCTTGCTCGTTGTGAAAACATTGGCTCCTCTTCTTCTTCACCAGTTTTAAGATCAACCTTCTCAGGAAGCAACACTATTGGTTCAAAGTGAATATCATCACT